CGGGCGCTGCTCCTTGAAGGGCAGGGAGAGCCGGGGCTGAGCTCCTGGAGCCCCCCTAATCCCCGGTAATCTCGGAGGAAAGCGCTGGCTGTGGGGATTAGGGATGTAAACAGCCACCCTCACCTGCCTGCCCCTGCCTGCCCCCACCTGCCCCCTGCCTGGAGCCCTCCAGGCAGTGAGGATGGGTCTCCAGAGAGTGGGATCCCTGCCTGGCCCCCCTAAATATGGGGTCCGGGTGGCCACCGGTGCTCTGTGAGGCTGTGCTGAGCCTGTGGTGGTTATTTATGGGAATAAAGGGAATGTGGAGCCATCTGGACACAGCCTGGCTCCATAACGTGGCAGGGGACGAGGCTCCAGGCGGTGACAAGGTTGGGGACAAGGTTGGGAGATGGTCCCTGTGGGGTTACACAGCCTCGGTCAGGGTCTGTGTGGAGCTGGATCCATCTTTTCCCACTGGGGAATTACCACTGGTTTTCCTTATGGGTAGGGAAACTGAGGCAGGGAGGAGGTGCCCGTGAGAGGGAAGCTCTGGGGATGCACGTGGCATTGCCACCCCCCTGATTTGAGGGGGACAAGGACAGTCCTGCTGGGCAGCTGGACCGGGAGACTGAAATTTGGGGATGGCTGAGGCTGTGCCAGCTGCTCACGGCAGGGAACGGCCCCTGCCAGCCAAGGCTCCCCCTGCCCCTTTCCTGGCCGGAACAGCAGCGCCCCACGGTGCCCCAGCCGCGGTGCCAGCGTCCTCCCCTGCCCTCGGGGCACGGGGACACAGACACTGCCATTCACACGGGCTCGAGGCCGGGGGCATCCCGGGAGGGGGCTGTCACTCCACCCCTGGCGTGGGATGGGGACAGGGGCACAGAGCATCGGGTGGCTGGATCCCTGTGCCAGTTGCCAACACACCAGCCAGGGGCAGGATGGCTCGGCATCAGCCCTGGGAAGGGCTGCGGGAGGCAGAAGCAGGTTGGCATTTTGCAGAGGGAGCACTGGAAAAGGCTGGGATCCAGTGCCCCGTGCCCACTGTGTCCTCAGCCCCTGGTACCCACCAGGTGATGTGTGATGGGTGGTGTTGGCATGTTTTCCCAGTACCCAATACCCACTACCTGGTGCCCAGTGCTCCCAACACCCGGTGGCTGATGTGGAGCCCGATGTCTCCTGCCCAGTACCCGGTACCCACAGAGCAATGCCCAGTACTGGTGCCCACTCCCAGGAGTCACTCCCTGGCACTGGGGCTGTTCCCTCTCATCTGTGCCAGTCAGTAACTGCTGCTGAGGCCTTGTACCCACTGCCTGTACTGGGCCCTGACAATGTCCAGTACCCAGTACTGGTACCCAGTGCCTGTGCCCTGTCCCTGGTACTGGTGCCCTGTCCCTGCTGCAGTGCCCTGTTCCCGGTACCCAGTGCTGGTGCCCTGATGCCAGAGCCCTGTGCCTGGTGTTGCTGCCTTGTACCACCGCCCCGTGCCTGCTGTGCAGTGCCTGCTGCCTGGTGAGTGATGCCAGAGCCAGTGCCTGACCCCAGGGCCTGGTGCAGTGCTCGGTGCCCGGGCTGGGTGCCGATGCCAGTGCCCAGGACCAGTGCCCAGGACTGATGGCAGTGCTCGGTGCCAAGGCTGGGTGCCGATGCCCAGGTGCTGGTGCTGGTGCCCAGTGCTGGTACCCAGTGCCTGATGCCACTGCCTGGTGTCCAGTGCCTGCTCCGGGTGCCGGGTTCCCAATGCTTGATGTTGGTGCCCGTGCCCGGTGTGCCGTGCTTGGCCCCGGTGCCGGCGCCCGGTGCCAGGCGCTGTTTCCGATGCCGGTGCTGATGCCGGTGCCCGATGCCCGACTCTGCTGCCGGACGCCGGTGCCGGTGCCCGGTCCCGCCGCCGGTGATGCCGAGCGGCCGCCCCCCCCCGCCCCCCGGCCCGCCCCGCCCCGGGGCCGCCCCCGCCCCCGCCGCTGCTATTTCTGCTAATCCGCGGCGGGGCCCGGCCGTGCCCATCGGCAGCCGCCGCTCCCGGACGGCGCCCGGCGCCGCAGCCATGGTAAGGCCGGCGGGGAGCGGGGACACCGGCCCGGGCTGCCCCGCACCGCCCCGCACCGTGGCACGGGCCCGCTCCCGCAGCGCGGGCCCGCTCCGGTGCCCTCCGTGAAGGTGACGGTGCGCGGGGGCGGAGCGGACCCGGGGCCGCCGGTGCCGCAGCGGAGCGCGGGGGGGACACGGGCGGCACCTGCCCGGGCCCCGCGGGGGAGGCGGGGGGCGGCCGCGGGCCCCTCAACGCGGCATCGGGGCGGGCAGCGCGCGGGAGCGTCACCTGCGTGTCCCCGCGTCCTGCCTCCCCCCGCCGTGTCCGTGCGTGGGCAGCGGGGGCTGCTCTCGGGTGGCTCCGTGCCGAGCATCGCTCCCCAGCGCGGCTACTGGCAGGTCCCCGGGTTGCGGCGCTGGTGGCACCGCCAGCCTGGCCGGGCCCTCGGCGGGGACTGTCACACGCACGGAGCGGGCTCTGCACTCACCGGCAAGGTCCGGAGACGCCACTGGCATTCCCGGCCCGCGGGAGCTTGTCCTGCATCTCTCGTCCTGCCTCCCCCCTCCGCGGCAGTGGCGGGTCCCCGGGAGCCGCTCGGCAGGGCCACGTCCCCGCGGGGACCTCCGGCCACTGGCCGTGCCCAGGGTGGGGATGGGGACGGCGGGCTGTGGCCGTGGCTCGCGTGGCACCGGGGTGGCGGCCGCTGGGACAAGTGCCCTTGGTGGGGAGCGCTGTGGCCGCCCTTCCCCGGCAGCCGCCGTGGGAACCAGCCCGGCACATTCCTCGGGGGCTGGACGCAGTGGAAGCAGGGAGGAAGGAGGGCGGCTGGCGGAGCGTGTCGCAACGAGCGCCTTCCCGACAGGCTCCAAACTGTGGCTTTGGGATGCACAGAGCCAGGCTCGGGAACGTCTGTGCGGAGGACGGCGGTCGCGGCTGGGTACCGGCAGGGAGCTGCGCTCCCTTCTCCCTGCATGTGGGGCTGGAGGTGGTCCAGAAGGACCCCCGGAGGTGGAGCAGGTGCCCCCCAACACCAGTGCCACATTCCTCTGTCCCCAAAGCAGTTCACGGCTCGGCCGGAGATATGGGATGAGCAATGGTACCCCCCGACCTCTGCTCCCGGCTCTGAGTGGGCTGGATCTTGCCCGTCCCCACGTGCTGAGATGTCACCTTGTTCCCAGCCCGGACAGCCCCCACTGTCACTTCCCGGCTCACGGAGAGCCACCGCGCATGGCCCCATCCCGGGGTCCCCACGCAGGTGCTCACAGGTCCTTCCAGCTGGAGGATTCCCTGCAGGAATCGGCTGGAGCTGCTGCACCAAGGGATGTGGCTCTTGTCCCACCTGCTTGGTGACCAAGGACCCGCGCTGCTGCCTGCCCCTCACCCACAGGGTGCCCAGCACCCTGCTCCTCCGGGAGCTGTTGGGAGACTCAGATTCCCAATGGGATGCTGCTGATGGGTGGCAGGGGAGAGCTCTGGTTCTCCGGTGGGACCATCCCGTGCACCCGGAGCAGGCCTGTCCTGGGGGAGAGCCAGGCTGCTCCTGGCACTGCTGGGTTTGGTGGGGGCCACCGTGTTCCTGTCCCGTGCTGGGCTCGTGCCTTGGGGACGCCGCCTGTGCCCGGGGTGCTCAGCCGTAGTGACGCGGTGGAGCAGCGCGGGCTGCGCTCTAGGTGGCACATCTGGGTGGCACATCTGGGTGGCACATCTGGGTGGCACATCTGGGTGTCACCTTTACGTGGGCGGGGGACACCTCGGCCAGCCTGGCTGCGCGGGCGGCACCTCGCCGCGGCGTCCCCTTCCTCCCCCTGCAGAAACAGGCTGGGGAAACACATCCCATGGGAATGCGGTGCCCGGCGGGAAGCCGCTAAGGGACAGCCAGGCTTTCCTAGCTCGGGCTGTGCCCGCTGTCCCCGCGTCCCCCCTCTGCCGCAGCCCTCGGGCTGTCGCCGTGCGGGGCTGGCGCGATGCGGAGTGACAGGCGAGGGGGAGGCAGCTCGTGTGCCACCTCGCCGGGGCTGTGACAGCCCGGGTGTGAGGCCGCCTTGCACTCAGCCGGGTGTGTAATCTGCTTACGGGGGCACCGGCGCAGCCCCGGGCTCTCGCTGCCGTAAATCCCTGCTCCTGCCGGGAGTGCGGGCTGGGACGCTTGGAAAGCGGCCGAGAGCCCCTGGATCGCGCCTGAGCGGCTCTGATGCATCCCGACAATGCATCAAGGTGAATCAGCGTCCCTGGTGACCCCGAGGTGACAGCTGGGGAACCCTGGCTGCCACCCACGGCTCCTCCTGGGGCACTGTTAACCCTCCGCCTCCCAGGGATGAGCCGGGAAAGCCGAGGCAGGAACGCAGGAGCCTGGGATCCCTGTGGTGGGCAGCGTCCCTGCTTCTCCCAGTCCGGGGCTGCGTCCTTCCCAGGGAGGCCCAGCTCCAGCAGGAACTTGGAGCCGTGTGGGGAAGCTTTAATTGTCAGGTGCGAAAGTGTGGAGTTTTTAAACAGCTTTTCATGGAAAACTGGGTTTCTCCCCTCAAAGAGGCTGTGGAGCCCTCCCTGGCTGGTGTCTGTGGGGTGCTCCAGGGTGAGGAGCAGGAAAGCATGTGCTGTGCAGCAGGATGGAGGGGGGGTTTGTTTGAGGATGGAGGGGGTTTTTGTCCCAGGACAGAGGGCGTTTTTGTCCTGAGACAAAGGTGTTTCCAAGGACCGAGTGTCCTCCTGGGCTGTAGCCAAGCTGTGTGTTCAGCCCAGGGATGATGGTGATGATGATGGTGGTCCTGCAGCCCCCCAGTACCTCCCTTGCCACCTTCTTGGCCGACGGTGCTTTTCTGGTCGTTGAAATCTCGGCAGCCGGGCAGGAGCTGGGCTTGGCTCTGCCCCGGGGGTCCCTCTGCCCTCCTGTGCCCCGCAGCCCCCGCACGGTGCCTGGCCCCTGGGTGCCCTGGGCGCCCGGCGCGGAGCCTGCCCAGGGTGGAGTTATGCTAATGCCGCTCCCCTTCCCTCGGCGCAGCCGGGACCACTCGGCATCTGCTCCTGGCCACGGGCGACACCGGCTGTGCCATGGCCACCTGCCCCGAGCTGCAGCCTGGGCAAGAGGTACGGGGGCACCGACCGTCCCCGGCGGGGCGAGAGAGGGGGCAGAGGGGATGGGGGGACCCGGAGCACGCTGATACAGCGGGAAGGTGCCACAGCCGATGCTCCGTCCCTGGAACAGCCCTGCTGGGGGCTGCACTTGCTGCAGGAGCCCCAAGGATGTGGTGCAAACCCCTCCGGTGCTGCAGCACCGCCGAGGCCATCGGCCTCGCTGGGGGTGGGGGGGCGAGGGGGAGCCCCGAAGGGCCGGAGCCCCGAGGGAAGGAGCGGCAGCGGCGCTGGAGGCGCTCGGAGGTGGTGGTGGCATCACCTCCCACTCCCGTGTGCCCCCGGCCCGGCCGTGCTGTGGCGGGGGCTGGAGCTGAGCCCCCCCCAGAGCAAGGTCGGTGAGGAAGAGGATGCTTCGCTCGCACAGACCCACCGAGCACTCGGGACCCGTGGGGGGACAGGGAAACACAGTGGGTCCTGCAGCCCCCGCCACGGGGGCACCTGCTGTCCCCCAGCCTGGCACCGCGTCCCCCCGTGCTGCAGGCGCGGGGCGGCAGGAGAGGGGGGCAGCAGGAGAGGGGGTAGCAGGATAGGGGGCAGCAGGAGAAGGGGCAGCAGAAGCAGGGGGCAGCAGGAGAGGGGGCAGCAGGAGAGGGGGCAGCCGTGCGAGCGCTCAGCGCCGGCAGCGCCGTGACCTTGTTTCCAGCCCGCTAATTCCGCGCATCCCGCCTCGCCGCCGGCACCGCTGCCCGCCCAGCGAGCGGGGACACGGCTGCGGGAGGACACGTGTCCCCACGGAGGGCTCTCGCCTCGAGGGCCCCCGATCTGGGGGGGCACTGACCCCCAGCTGGGAGCCTGCAGAGTCAAGGGCTCCCCCAGACGCGCCGTGCCCCCTGTTTGGGGGTCTCGCTGCCCATGGGGTCTCCTGGTAGTTGCCACGGCAGGAGCTTGGGGACCTTGGTCCCGCGGGAGCTACTGCCGGACATGCCCTTGGGAACGCGTCTCCTCCCGCCAGTGCTCGTAAACAGGATGTGGAGCCATCCCAAAGCCGGCGGCCCCGGCCCTCGTCCCCACCCGCCGCCCCACAGGGCCACCAGCCGGGGGTCGCTGTGCCTGGCCCCCCCAGCCCCTCCCTGGCGCTGCTGCCTGCGCCCGCTCCAGGATGGGCAGAGCCGGGGAGGGGGTGTCGGGGTCCCGGTGACATCTATGGGCCGGGTCCCCTGCCCTGGCTGTCCCCTGGGACCGCAAGGACAGCAGTTCCTTGGGCCATCGCCCACGCTGAGACCCCACAAGTGGGCAGGTGGGGGGGCACGAGCAGACCCTTGCCCCCTCTCTGCCTCCCCCCGGCCCCAGCCCCACTCCAGCTTCCCCCCCACACCACTGCTCTTAATCACTTCTCGGTGTCTCTCCCTCCTCCCCGGCGCCCCCTCCCACCCTCCCGGCAGGCCATGGGGTGTGTGGGGGTCCTGGCCACCCCGGAAGACCCCGAGGAGCGGCAGGGTACCCAGGGGGATGGTGCCCATCCCTGTGCCCCGGAGTGCCAGGAGCTGGCTGCCGTCCCCACAACACAAGCTGTAAGAGCCCAGGGTGCACAGGACCATTGCTGTCCCCACTGCCATCCCCATGGATGTCCCCAGGGCTGTCCCCAGGGTGGTGGCTCGTCCCCTGGGGTGGCCGTGTCCCCCCTCTCCTCCCACCCCTGCCATCCTTAGGCTGCATGTGTCTGGCTGCTGCGGTTCGGGGGCTTGTGCTGCTGAGTCGGGTGGTGCCACCTCGGGCTGGCACTGCCACCGTTAGTGTCACCTCCTCCCGTGTCCCCCAGATAAAGCGTTTCCTGAAGGAGGACTCGGACGAGGCTGAGCTGACCCAATTCCTGCGGGATTGCCCTCCGGCCGACAGCCCCAGGAAGGTGGAGACTCCGGAGGGCCGGCGGGAGCCCGGCCACCCCCTGGGCACTGCGGGCAGGGGCCCCGCCGAGGAAGCCACGGACGAGAGGGACTCCAGGATCTTCTCCCGGTCCCGACCCCTGGATACCCCGCAGTACATCGCAGCCCCCCCGCCCCCCAGTCCCAACCGCCCGCGGAGCCCCTGGGGGCAGCTGGACCCCTACGACTCCTCCGAGGTGCGGGACGTGTCCGTGGAGGGGCGGGGGGGGGCACACAGGGGGTGAGGGGCTGCAGGAGTCACGGTGGAGGGTGTTCCCATCCTGCACCACAAAGGTTTAAGGCAGGAATGACCAAGCCTGGGGGGCGGGAGGAGGGGGGTGGCCTGCCAGGACAGGAGGTGCGCTGGTGTTGTCCCCTGTCCCACGTCCCCTCTGCCCGCAGGATGACAAGGAGTACGTGGGCTTTGCCACCCTGCCCAACCAGGTGCATCGCAAGTCGGTGAAGAAGGGCTTCGACTTCACCCTCATGGTGGCAGGTACGGGGGGCCCAGCTGGGCTGGGGGGTGCTGAGCCCACTCTGGAGCCCAAACACCACGGGGTGGGGTGGGGGGGGTACTGGCTACACCCCCTCATCCTTGTCCCCCTTTTCCAGGGGAATCCGGGCTGGGCAAGTCCACGCTGGTGAACAGCCTGTTCCTGACGGACATGTACAGGGACAGAAAGCTGCTGAACGCTGAAGGTGAGGGGGGGACAGTCACAGCCCACGTGGGGTGTCCTGGTGACACGGGGGGGTGGCAGAGCCCCGTGATGCCCCTGGGGGGCTGCAGCCCCTCTCCCTGCCCAGCTGGGCTCCCCTGAAGCCACATGTGGCCCGTTGCCAACCACCTGCTGGCCCTGGGACAGCTCCAAGGCAGCAGGGACCCCCCTGCCCAGCACGGGGACCCCCCACAGGGGCTTTGTCCCCACAGGGAAAACAAGCCCTGGCTTGTTGGGAATTGCAGCAAATCCAGGAGGCTGAGGGCAGTCAGGATCTGGGGCCAGTTCAGCTACAGGCAGTTTTTGAATTAAAATGGCCCAAACTTGCCCAAATCCCCAGGAGTTCGTGGGGTTTGTTCCACTTGTTTCCACTGCTTGGAGTGAAAGCCAAAGAACAGAATGCAGCAGGAGCATCCTTAGGGATCCAGGGACACGGAGGGGTGCTGGGGGTGAAGGGGCATGTGCAGCCTGGAGCTGTGGGGTCAGACATAGGGGTACAGGGGGCCTTCAGTGCTCCCACAGCGATGTCACCCCCAGCAGACCCCTGTGCTGCCCGAGCTGGGGTCCTGGGGTGCAGGTGGCTTGGGTGGGCATCCATGGGGATCCATGGGGATCCATGGGGATCTGGGGACCATGGCATGGAGTTGGACACCCTGTGTCAGGAGCAATCCAGCAAAGCCACCCCAGCCCCCCGGGGAGGGGGTGACACCTGTCCTGTCACCTCCATCCTCTCTTGCCCGTGGTGTCCCCGCTGTTGACGTGTCTCCTGCCACCCCAGAGCGCATCACACAGACGGTGGAGATCACCAAGCACGTGGTGGACATCGAGGAGAAGGGGGTGAAGTTGCGCCTGACCATCGTGGACACGCCGGGCTTCGGTGACGCCGTCAACAACACCGAGTGGTGAGTCCCTGGGGGTGCTCCAAAGGAGCCCACATTTTATAATATGTTTTACTTTACATTAAATTATTTCCCACATTTATACACACTACCCATGTAGGAATATCTCACATCCTTTGTGCGCACGACCCACATCGATTTTCGTGCTTCACCCCATAAACTCCCAGCCAAGACAACAACAGATCCAGGCACGAGGAACAGATATGGAACGTTCTAGGAATTAATTCAACAGTTCAGACTAAAACCTACTCAGTGTTAACTTATAAGTATTATATGTAAACTAAATTAACTTAGTTTACATATAATATGTACAATTTAGTGTGTATATATATATATACACATACATACATACATATAGTATATATATAGTGTGTTTATATATATAGTGTATATATATAGTGTGTATATATATGTATACACATATAACTTAACTTATATGTATGTTGACTTATAGGTGTATATATATATACACACACATATAACAACTTATATGTATACTGTTGACTTTTATATATATATATATATATATATACACACATATATATATACATATAACTTAACTTATATGTATAATGTTAAGTTATATGTGCAACCCACTGGATCCTCCTGGACACGGGAATGTTCCAGTACCTAATACCAGTCCTCTAGGACATAACATCAATTAATACTTGCTCTAATGGCACACAAGGAGCATCAGGTTATCTCTTAACCGTATTTCTCACCTGAAATCAGCAGCCTGGAGTCAGTAAGGCCTGTCACCACCAGCTGCAGGACCTTCCTTTCCCCCTGCACCCTCGCCCAAGAAGGTGGGCATGGCACGAGGGGTGGGATGGGTGAGAGCTGAGGGTCCACAGAAAGCCCAGGGGTCCGCAGAAAGCTTGGAAGTCCCCCAGAGGACTCGATGTCACCCCACTGTCCCCGCAGCTGGAAGCCCGTGGCCGACTACATCGACCAGCAGTTTGAGCAGTATTTCCGTGACGAAAGTGGCCTCAACCGGAAAAACATCCAGGACAACCGTGTCCACTGCTGCATCTACTTCATCTCGCCCTTCGGCCACGGGTAGGGGCACTGCCGGGCTGGGGGGGCTGGGGAGGGATCGGTGGGGCTCACCAGGCTCCCCCCGCAGGCTCCGGCCCCTGGACGTGGAGTTCATGAGGGCCCTGCACCAGCGCGTGAACATCGTGCCGGTGCTGGCCAAGGCGGACACGCTGACCCCCGCCGAGGTGGAGCGCATGAAGAACAAGGTGAGGGGGGATCGCTCCAGCCTGGAGCCATCCCGGTGGGTCCCTGGGTGTGGGGGTGCCCTGGGGGTCCCCGCTTGGCTGGGGGCTCTGTCCATCTCCTGCCTGGACTTTGCCCGGGAGCATTCTCCTTGGAGGACCATGTTGACCCCGTGGTCACCCAGGATCTCCCTGGGGCTCAGCTGGGGGCTGGAAGGGTTTGAGGGGTGTCCGTGTCACCTAGTCTGGGGGGAACAGGCTTTTGGGGGATACTGGCACTGTGTGGTGTCTCCCACCCCTTCCCGAGGGCCGGAGCCCTGCCCTGAGGGAGATGTTTGCCTCCAGATCCGGGAGGAGATCGACCACTACGGCATCCGCATCTACCAGTTCCCTGAGTGTGACTCGGACGAGGATGAGGAGTTCAAGCTGCAGGACCAGGCACTGAAGGTGGGTCTGGCTCCTGCAGCTCCATCCTTGGAGGGGCAGAGCCCCATGGTTGGGAGGACACATCACCCTGGGGTACCTGTAGGACTTTTTGGGGCCACACAAGCTCTGCAGGGAGGGCACGTCACCCTGGGGTACCTGTAGGACTTTTTGGGGCCACACAAGCTCTGCAGGGAGGGCACGTCACCCTGGGGTACCTGTAGGAGTTTTTGGGGCCACAGAAGCTCTGCAGTGGCCTCAGTGTGGAGGGGCTGGTACGTGTCACACTACCTGGACACATTGCCAAGATCCCACAGCTTGGTGGGATGGGGAAGGGGTGGAGAAGCTCGTGCCACTGCCCCTGGATCTCCACAGCTTGGGATATCTTGGTAAAGGGATGCTGGACACAGCAGAGGAGATACCTGGGGAGGGATGTGGGGCATGGCAGGCAGGACAGAGCCCTGCTGACCCCCCATTATTAAAATTATTAGAAATGCCTCTGCCTGAATCAAGGTGCAAATGAGCCTCAGACAGGCCACTTTGCAGTTTGACAAAGAACCTTTCTATGACTCTTTCCAGAGAGGGTAATCAGCCATTGGAATGGGCTGCCCAGGGAAGTGGTGGATTCTCCGTCCCTGGAGGTTTTTAAGATGAGACTGGATGTGGCACTCAGTGCCATGGGCTGGGAACCACGGTGATAGTGGATCAAGGGTTGGACTTGATGATCTCAGAGGTCCTTTCCAACACGGCTGATTCTGTGATTCTATGATTTTGACGACGTTTAAGACAATGAACAACATGTCAGTCTCTCCCACACCCTCCTGCAGGAGAGCATCCCCTTCGCCGTCATCGGGAGCAACACGGTGGTGGAGGCCAAGGGCCGGCGCGTCCGCGGGCGCCTCTACCCCTGGGGCATCGTGGAAGGTAACGCCGGGCTGTCCCCAGTGTCCCCACGGCCATTTGGGGAGGGGGATGTCCCCCATGTTGGTGCTGCTGAGCCCCGGGGGGGGGGTCGGGGAGCCCCCTGACCTCGGGCTGCCCCGCAGTGGAGAACCCGTCCCACTGCGACTTCGTGAAGCTGCGGACGATGCTGGTGAGGACCCACATGCAGGACCTGAAGGACGTGACGAGGGAGACCCACTACGAGAACTACCGCACCCAGTGCATCCAGAGCATGACCCGCATGGTGGTGAAGGAGAGGAACCGCAAGTATGGGGCTGGCAGAGGCGGGGCCAGGCTGGGCAGCGACGGGGGGGGGGAGGTGTCCTCTCCTCGGGGTGACCCCAGCCCACTGCCAGTGGTGGTCTCCAGGGGTTGGGGTTGTGTGCCTGTCTGTGCGGGGGTGGGCAGGGGGTTGGGGGGTGGGGTGGGGGGCCCTTCCTGTGCCACAGGGCTGGGAATGGCTGGGGGGGATGGGCCAGAAGTGAGGGGGACCCTGTGTCGCTCAAGGCTGGGTCTGTCTTAGGTGGGGATTCTCCAGCAGTGAGGGGGATCCTATGTCACCCTCGGGGCTGGCTGGGGTAGTAAGGGGGACCCTGCATCCCCCCAGGGCTGGGATTGACAGAGGGGGATGATCCAGCAGTGAGGGGCACCCTGTGTGCCCCCAGGGCTGGGAGGGGAGTGGGGGTATGCTCTACCAGCAAGGGAGGACCCCGTGTCCCCCCCGGCCAGGGCATGTCTCAGGGGATGCTCCAGCAGTGAGGGGGATCCTGCATCCCCCTGGGGCTGGCTGGGAGGGGATGCTCCAGCAGTGAGGAGGACCCTGCATTCCTGCAGGCTCCGGGGCCAGAGCAGGACCCAGACAAACATCCCGTGCTGGGACTCTGCTCCCAGACCAGCTGCAGCCATGGCACCCACATCCCCTTTAGCCACTCCAAGATGCTGAGGGAGCCCCCCAAGGAAGGGTCCCTCTGGGACCCTCCAGCCGTGGGGTTGGAGCAGTGTGGGAGCGAGTGGAGGCTCTGTGGGTCGGGGAGGGGCTGGAGCAGCGCTGTGGGGGGCTGCCAGGGGCTGTAGGCACCTCTCTAGGCACCTCTAAACGGTCTCTCCCTGCGTGCCCCGGGCAGGGGCCGTCCCTCCGTGCTGAGGCTGTGCTGCGCCGACTGCTCCGCCGACTGAGCCGCGACCGGCCGGGGCCGCGCTGGGCCCCGCCCTCCATCCCCTGCCACCCCTGCCACCCCCTGCCATCCCCCTGGCCCCCCTATAAAGTACTTGTTGGTACTCAACACTGTCTTGGTCCTTCTGTGCCAGTGCAAGGGCCGGGCAGCCGCCCTCGAGGCGAGCCTGCCCCGTGGCTACCCCCCGGCTCCGTGGCCACCCCCCGGCTCCGTGGCCACCCCCCAGCCCCGTGGTCACCCACTCGTGTCCCACACAGACTGCCCTTGGGGTGCCAGGAGGATGCTGTGTGCTGGTGCCATCACCCCCGCTCTCTCAGGGCTGGGGACATGTGGCCCCAGTTGGTGGCACCGAACCCCTCAGTGGCTGGCAAAGTCCTGCCCTCCCAGGGAAAGTGATTTTGGAGTGCAGACAGTCTTTGCTGGGCTGGTGGGGCTGCTCATCCCAGTGCTGGTGCCTGGCTCCAGCCTTGTCCCGCTGCCAGGGGTGGAGGGAGCTCCATGTGCTCCCCACTGTGTCCCCCCAGGGCGAGGAGCCGTGACAACGGGCAGCGACTTCCAAGGCACCTCAAAACGTGGCCAAACCCCGTCCCTTGCCCTGGCACAGCCCCCTGGCACAACGGGACCCCACAGGGCAGGGATGGCCCGTCCTGCCCGTGCCACATCCAGTGTCCATCACTGGAGGGGCCACGCTGAGGTGGCACGTGGCAGTGGCACGTGGCAGCACGTGTGACCCCTGCCAGCCGCTCTCGGTGTCCCAGCCCTGTTGTCACCCGCTGGGGTGGCACGTGGCATCCAGAGGGACGGGTGGGAGAGCTGGTCCCTCCCAGTGCCTCAGGCATGGGAGAAGCCATCGATCCAGGCTGGCTGCAGTCCTGCGAGGGGGGGGGTGGCCTCGGGGGGATGCTCATTGCTCCCTCCTCCAGGAATGGGGCTGAACGGGAGCTGAGGCTCAGGAAAAGGGGTGTGGAGCATCCCTGGGGCTGGCTGGGCACAGGAGTGCCCGGTGAGCCCGTCCTGAAGCAGCAGGGCAGAGAGGGGAGGTGCCAAGGTTACGGTGTTTTAAAGCAGCAGAGAAAATACTGGGCCAGCAGAGCCCAATCCCAGTGGGATGCTCCCCAAAATGGGAGGGTCTGCAGGAATTCCCTGGGTTGTCCCCCCCCTCCCCCCAGTGGTGTGTGGCAGGTTGGGGTTGCTGAGGTTTGGGGGGATACCTGGAGCCTCTCACATCCTCAGTGCCTGGAAAGAGGCCTCTTGTGTTGATGGCCTGGAGGCTCAGGGGCTGTGCAGGTGGGTGGTGGACACTGCACGGTTTGGGGTATCCGTGGGGGAATGTCCCCTCAGGGGGGCTGGGGAAGCATCCTCACCTCCTCTGTCTTCCCACAGCAAGCTGACACGGGAGAGTGGGACAGACTTTCCCATCCCCGTCATCCCCCCAGTGCCAGATGTGGAGACGGAGAAGCTCATCCGGGAGAAGGATGAGGAGGTGAGTGTGGGGGAGGCTGAGGCCCCCAGCCCCCCTTTCCCCTCTCTGCAGCCCCAGCCGTGGCACACCCATCGTGGGCCACCCTTCCTGCACCATCCCAGCAGCTGCTGCTCCTCAGGCCAAGGGTCAGGAGGTGCTGAGGGGCATCAGAAGGTTCCCCCCACTCACCTCCTGCTGATCCCGGCCTGCCTGGGGCTGGAAGTGCCGGCAGCCCCCATGACCCCTGCTCTGCTCCCTTCCAGCTGCGGCGGATGCAGGAGATGCTGCAGAAGATCCAGAAGCAGATGAAGGACTCACACTAGCCTCTTCCTCCGCCTCCTCCTCCTCCTCCTCCTCCTGCTCCTGGCCCCCGGATCAGAAATGTTTACATCACGCTCCGCCCCGCCCGGCCCCGCCAGACTCGGTACCAACCGCACCCGCCACCTTAAAGCTGCTGCGGTATCGCCTTATCCACCGCCCAGCGCCACCCCAGGGGACAGCCGGGGACAGCCGGGGACAGCCGGGGACAGCCGGGGACAGCCCACCCGGCCCGGGGGTCCCCTGCCCCCGTGTCCCCCCGCCCCCGGGGACAGCTTTGTCCCCCAAGCTTTGGCTTTCCCTGTGTCCCCCCAGCTCTGGGCCAGCCCGCTCCCCCTGTCCCCGTGTCACCTCGGGCTCCTGCTCACAGCCTCGGCTCGGCCCTGGTTTAAGGGGAGAGGAAACGGGGGCACTGGTGCCGGCCCCCCCAGCTGCCCCGCCGTGGGGGACAGGGCTGCTTGTTGCCTTGGCACGGAGGGACAGCAGCTCCCGGGGGGCACAGGGGACCCAGGGGATGGAGGGACAGCCACCACCCTGCTCCGTGTGCAGGGGGACTGAACTTGTCAGTGTCCAGCCCTGTGTCCTCACCCTGTCCCCACGGAGTGACACCAGGAATCCCGGACCCCGGGGAAAGTCCCTTGAACCCCAAATCAGAGGTCGGGTCCCCAGCCCGGCTCCCCCTGGCTGTTGGCCCTGTAAAGCAATAATGACAGTCCTGTGGCACCTCCCACCCCATGGCAACGCCGTTGTCCCTGCCGGTATTTTGGCCCGTGGTGCCACTTGCTTGTCTGTGGTGTCCCTGTGTGCCCAGGATGTCCCTGCCCCTGCTGCTTCCTGGCAGAGCAGCCCTGTGTGTTCTCCAAGGATGTCCCCATCCATGTTGCTTCTCAGTGAAGCACTGCTGTGTGTCCCCATGTTCCCCTGTGATGTCCCCATGTTCCCCTGTGATGTCCCCATGTTCCCCCACGATGTCCCCGTGTTCCCCTGTGATGTCCCCCTCGGTGTTGCTGCCCTCGGGAGCACTGCAGCTTGTCCCCCCCAGGCCGTCCCCATCCGTGTTGTGTTCCCCCAGAGCACTGTGCTGCATCCCTGTGTCCCCCCCAGGATGTCCCCCCCACCGTGTTCCCGCCCTGCAGGGCACTGTGTTGTGTCCCTGTGTCCCCCCAGGATGTCACCAGCTGTGTTGCTTCCCGACAAAGCCCCGCTGTGTGTCCCCAGGGGGAGCCTGGCCCACACCTCCCGGTGTCCCTGGGGACTGGATCCCAACCCCTTCAGCTCCTGCTCCCTCCTGGCTCCGGGGAAGGACAAAAGGGGCTGGTGAGGCAGAACTGGGAGCAGTGGGATCACTGGGAGCTCGCTGGCAGGGGGGTGCGTCCTGTCCCCGCCAGGGCCACCCAAGGTGGGGTCCCCCAGGTGGGTTCACCCCTGGTGGGGGCTGTGCCCGGCCGAGGCTCGGGGTGGGTCTCCAGGCACGTGCCCCCCGTGTCCCTGTGCCAGCCAGGGGTTCCCCGTGGGCAGGGCCCCCCCGGGCAGGGCCCCGCAGGGTGTATTAGTGCTTTCCTTTTTTTAATCTCGCTATTTTCTTACAGAAGCCCCTCCTCCCTTGGCATGACGGTCCTAGAGGCGTTTGTTAACGGATATAAGCAGAGTATAGGTTTATAAATTCTTATAGAGTTAGTGGAAATATTTTTATCCCTCCACAACTGTTCTCAATAAATAACGGCTGACCCGGCTTGTCTGCAACCCAGAGTGGCTTCTGCACCAACACCCCACATCCCTGGGCATCCCACATCCCTGGGCATCCTGTGTCCCTGGGCATCCCACATTCCCACATCCCTGGGCACCCCATGTCCCTGGGCTGGCAGGGTCTTGCCCCGTGGCCTCTTGTTCTCAGTTCCTGTTTCCTTGGCAAAGGCTTAAAACAGATATTGGGGGGTTTGTGCTGCACCCACAGGGACACTCAGCTTGGGGAGGGGTGGCAGAGCCCTGTGGGACACCCTCTGGGGATCAGGGGGCACAAGGAGGGGGTGCCCCCATCACCTGCTGCTGGCTTGTCCCCCTCTCCCGTGGCTTGGGGTGCTGCTGGTGTTGGGGTGTGATGGGAACTGGGGGGGCAGAGCCCGAGCCAGGGTGTGGAATTGCCCTCCATGTGCTGCCCCGGGCACCCCTGTGCCCCTGCCAGCGGGGTGAGCCCTGCCAGGAGACACCATCAGTTCCTGTGCCCAATTGCCACGGCCTGGCTTGCCCAGGAGCAGGTGGGGTGGAGGGGTGGGCAGAGCACACCAGGATGGATGAGCTGCATCTCCACCTGCCTCCCAGTGGGCATTGTCCACCTGCACCCCGTTATCCCTCCCTGCACCCCATTGTCCCCCCCTGCACCCCAAGATACCCCCTGCTCCATGACCCTGCCCTGCTCCCTGCTCTCCTCCACACTTTGGATCCAGCCTGGCACAGGGTGGGGTGTCCAACAGCCCAAATCCCACCAGGAAGCAGATGCTCCCAGCCCTGCTGTGCCTGGCTGGGTGTGTGTCATGGTTTAAGACCCCCCAGGTTCATGGCTGTGTCCTTTCTCTGGGCTAAAGTGGCCAAAGCACTTCCCAGGGGTTGCCCAGGTTCCTTGGCAGAGCCAAGGCCAGGCTGTGCCCTTCCCTGCCCTCTGCACCACCCAGAACACACTGGATTGGGTTTTCCACCCTGGTGAGGGTGCAGCTGATGGGCTGGAGGGAAGGGGGGCACCCAGTGGGGCTGTGAGAACCTCAGCAGGGCCAACCAGGCCAAGGGCAAGGGCAGGGACCAGGGTTAGGACAATCCCCAGGATCAGCAGAGTGAGGGAGGGATGGGTGGGGGGGTGGATGAAGGGATGAAGGGATAGATGGATGGATGGATGGATGATGGGTGGATGGATGATGGGTGGATGGATGGATGGAGAGGTGCCTGCTGAGAAGGACTGGGTATTACTGGTGGGTGACAAACAGGACATGACCCATCCACGGGCACTGGCAGCCCAGAGAGCCCAGTGTGTCCTGGGCTCACCCCCAGCAGTGTGGGCAGCAGGGGATGGAGAGGGTGCTCCCCCTCTGCTCCACCCTCCTGAGACCCCCCTGGAGCTGCCTCCAGCTCTGGGGGCCCAGCACAGACAGACATGTCCAGGAGGCCACCAAAACGGTCCGAGGTGGCCCACGGTCCCCACTCTAGAGAAAAGCTGCCTGTGGGGAGCTGCCAGCCCCACCCCCTGCCTGCTGCACCTTCTGCCCTTGCTGAGGGTCAGGGCTGGGCCAGGACAGCACCTCCCTGGGGTCCTTCCCTCCTTTGCCTGTGGCTGGGGATGCCAATTCCTGCTGCTCACCAGGCCAAGCCCCACCATCCCAACCATTAACCCCAACATGGAAATGGGGGAGCTTCCTGGGGTGGAAGGAGCTCCTCACCCCAAAGGCTGAGCTACAGGAACCTCCCACATCCCACCCTTGCAGCTCCAAGATGGATCCCCTGCCTGCACCTCCCTCCCTAGAACAGCCAACAGAGCCTCTGCTTTGGGCCCCTTTGGCCTCAGACCGGCTGATTTATCCAGTTCCACTTCTCCCCAGAGCAAAAAGCCCAGTGCTGAGGCTCCAGCGACAGCCCCAGCTGTGCCTACCCTTCATTCCATCTGATTTTCATCACACCTTTAAAAATAAAAAGTCCCAAACCCACTCAATCCCAGCCTTCCCAAGGCAGAGATATTTCCACATGGCAAATACTTCCATTCCCTGATGTCCTATTTTAGTTTTCTCCCCAGTGCTGGCACTGGTTGCAGACATCCCTGCTGGAGCTCCAGCCAGGCTGGGAGGGAGGGAATAAGGGTTTCTTAGGGCTGGAAAGGAGATCTCTCACCTCCTCCCCTGGGCTGTGCCACCCACATCTGACACCCAATGAGACCTCAAGTGGTGTCAGCCCAGCCCTTCCTTTCCTTTCCCTTTCCCTTTCCCTTTCCCTTTCCCTTTCCCTTTCCCTTTCCCTTTCCCTTTCCCTTTCCCTTTCC